CTTTCCCTAGCTCTCTAGTGCCTCAGGATCTTGGGCACCTACTGTGTGTGTTTTCAGGCCAACCTGGGCACTCAAACCTGTGACTGCCCATGCAGCTTTTAGCACTGCAATCCAGTATGCTACAGACTGCAATGCCTAGGCTGGGCTATTTAATAAGATGTTTTAATGATTTAGACGTAAATCATATTTCGGTAAGCTAAAAAACAGAATCACACAGAACAGGAAATCTTACAGGCTCAAGCAACATCTGAGACATCTTCCTTATCTGTATTCTCTTAGTACAAAAAAAAAAAAAATTGGAGTTAGGAGGTAAGGAGGACATAGTTTGCTTTTCACAGCATTTAGTCTCTAGACAAAAGACACCCCACATATCTGCCTATGCATCAAGTGAGCATTTTGTCCGCCTGACTCCCCTGCATGTCTCACCCTCCACCCCCATTCCTTACCTAACCTTTCTACCTCCAATACAGTCCATGAGACAGGATGACTCAGCCTCAGTGTACCACAGGCAAATTTCTGTAGAAAAGGTTCCTAAAAATATTTATCTCTGCCAGAGAAAAAAGTTCTCCTTTCTCAGGGGGCTGATATATAAAATTAAAGAATATTCATTGAGTGCCTACGATATACCAAGTAAGGTCTCACAATATCCACTGATCTAAGGTCACCAGCAAAAGCTGTAATGCAATAATCAGATCCGAAACGTTTGGGTTTGCATCATCCTGAGGGGTGAACCTGCTCACCCAGTCAGCAGTGGGTTCCAGAAGTCTACTCATTCAAATCTACTTCTTCCTGGCTAGATTTGGCAATGCCCATCTGGTGTGAGTTGTCTGCTCTGAAATAAGCTTCAATGGAAACAACTCCAGGTCATGTGCCTAGCTACGACTGTCCAATCAGGGGGAAAAATTCTCAAGAAATCAGCCAGTTAGCTGGCATTAATCTGGGGAGTCTGGACCAGGATAGCACTGGCCTCATTTCTCACTCATCTCCCACAATTGAGCTGCTTATCATTCTCTGCCTCCATGAACTCTTTCTGGTCAGCCTGTAAAAGCTCCCTGTGGCCACTCCCTATTTCAGGGGGAAGGATGAACACCAATAGAAATTCTATCTCGAGCTAATTGTTACAGAGTTTAACTACGTTTTTCTGAATGATACCCTTAAAAAATTAATAACAATATCATTTTATGATCAAGTCCAATGGTTGTATTAGTTGGAAAATGTTGATTACGATAATGTTTTTCTCTAAATTAGTATTCTGACCTAAGTGTCATAGTTACATCAAAGGATCTAACACAGAATAGCGATATCAGAAACAGATACATATTTTCTCATATTTAAAATATAGTATGACTGGGACCAGCAGATGGCATAATGGCTACATCGCTGAACTCCCATGTAGTCAACCATGATTCGAGTCCCATACCCGGTGGCTTAAACTCACACCAGGAGCATGTGCATGTGTGCTCAAGATCCCGAGAAGAAAATGGAGGAGAAGGGATTGCAGTGTGGCCATCCCCCTGGGGGTGATTTCTCACTTTCTGTCTTTCTGTCTCTGTCTTTCTGGCAAGCGCATGCGCCCTATTGCAAAAAAAACTCTCAAAAAAATAATAAAAAATGTGTGTGTGTGTGTGTGTGTGAGCTCCCTGTGGCCACTCCCTATTTCAGGGGGAAGGATGAACACCAATAGAAATTCTATCTCGAGCTAATTGTTACAGAGTTTAACTACGTTTTTCTGAATGATACCCTTAAAAAATTAATAACAATATCATTTTATGATCAAGTCCAATGGTTGTATTAGTTGGAAAATGTTGATTACGATAATGTTTTTCTCTAAATTAGTATTCTGACCTAAGTGTCATAGTTACATCAAAGGATCTAACACAGAATAGCGATATCAGAAACAGATACATATTTTCTCATATTTAAAATATAGTATGACTGGGACCAGCAGATGGCATAATGGCTACATCGCTGAACTCCCATGTAGTCAACCATGATTCGAGTCCCATACCCGGTGGCTTAAACTCACACCAGGAGCATGTGCATGTGTGCTCAAGATCCCGAGAAGAAAATGGAGGAGAAGGGATTGCAGTGTGGCCATCCCCCTGGGGGTGATTTCTCACTTTCTGTCTTTCTGTCTCTGTCTTTCTGGCAAGCGCATGCGCCCTATTGCAAAAAAAACTCTCAAAAAAATAATAATAAAATGTGTGTGTGTGTGTGTGTGTGACTGCTTAACTGGATTCTAATAGACCCATTTCAGTTATAACAGAATACCTAACCCAATATCAGTTACTGAGGATTGGACTTCTTACTTGCTTGTTTTTATTTGTCAATTCGTTGTTTTGTTTTGTTTTATTTTCCCATTTATATAAGCTCTTGGATGGATTTAAATCAAGTGAAAATATATTTCTAGACAATTAATTCTGGAAGAAAGCAATGGCTGAGAATTTGGAAATATGATTATATGGCTACAGATAAATGAGTCAGGATATTGTCATTTGATAAAGATGACTGTTTGCTGTTCTATTTGGGCTCATTTTACTTAACCACATGCTCCAAAATTCTAGCCTTCACTATCTGTGCAAGGTCTGTGGAAGTTTATGTAGCCCAGAAACTATTCTGAAGTTTTTCTCTAATGGAAGTTCACACTTATGCCAGTAACACTGTCCAATTTCAGAAAGCACCAAATACTTACTTGTTTAGCCTTTGTTTTTGAGATGGTGTCAGAAATAGGTTTTTTCCTCTCCTTGACTGCAGTTTTAGAAAATAGTTCTTCAAATTCATGACAGTCTATGGATGGCTCTTCAATTTTTTCCCAAATAAGTGAAGCGCTGTGGTCTCTAAAGTTAAGCAAAAGATCAATGAAAGGGCCATCAAACTGAACTATATCATGATAGGCATAAAGAAGGGAGAAAGGGAAGAAAGGATGTGGGGGAGAAAAACAGGAAGGAGAAATGGAAAAGGCAGAGACATGAGGAAGAAAGAATATTCTTTTCTTTAAGCTTGCCATTTACTTTATCAACTTGGTGAGAAAGTTTAAATGCTATCCATATAAAATGACAACTTTGCCTGGAAATTATTACCAGGAATTCTCAGTTATCAAGTCACTGTATAAAAACATAAAGGGAAAACCTCTCTCAGTATGAACTATAAAGGCAAGGAAAGCTCGCTGTCTCATGATCCCACATGATTTAGCCTTGTGGATTATTCATAAGTTAAAATATTTAAGTTTCAAGATGGCATCCTTCCTCTCCCCCACTGTCACCAATCACCCTACTGTTATTTGGCTTCTCAATGACACAGACTGATGTAGTACCACCTATAAAGGGTCAATGTACTTTAAAAAAATAAAAATAAAAACAACAGAAATAACTTCATATTATGTATCTAGAAAAAATGTTTGGGGTACAACTTAAAATGATTTATCAGCATAGTTAAAAGTAATCAGGATATATAAAGCATAGGTTCTTACCTTCTGATATAACTTAGTGAAGAAAAAAATTAATATAAGAAGTGTAAAATAACTCTGATAAATACCCGTTTGCATGACACAGCACAGAGGAAGTCTAAAATACCATGAAAAGTTAGAGGAAAAAAGGCCAGTGAGATTTCAGTTGTGTGTTATTCTCTCCACAGCCATGCATCACGGAAGTGTCTCGTGGCTAACACACAGGCTATGCATTATGCACAGCGGTGCGATACTCACCAGCACACTTAATGAACAGTGTTCTTCTATGACGTTATAACTTCACACTACGTCACCAGTCATCTGTAGAAGTGCCATGAAATTCTCAAAACTGAGTTACTTCATGCCTGGGGTATGGGTGTGTTTATTATCATGTAGCCTATTCCTAAAGAAAGACTACTACAAACAGGATAGAATAGAAAAGCAAGGCTATATCCTTTGAAGGATGCAAAAACCATGCTCAGAAGCCAGTTTGCCAAAGGACTTGACATTTTTAAGCTGTCAGAAATGGAAACTTAAATAGTGAAAGTAAAGCATAGATCTCATATGAAAAATGATTTGACTATAAATATCTCTGCTTATCTGCCCTCACTCATTTTCTAGGGGGCATAGAGGAGAATTCCAATTAGATTCAAGCATCTGTAGCTGTCTACCACAACTAGATAGCAGATCAAATATGCTAAAAAAAATCCATTCATAACTACGGAAATGGAAATATATACATCTTATACATTGATACATACATGTCATTTGTTTTACCTGTTCAATGTGTCTGGAAAAAAAGATCCTAAAATGTTAAATAACAAATTGCTTCATTAAATACTAATGGAAAAAAATCTACAGACAAGTTTTAGAGATGTACTTAAAAATACATTAAAATTGCAATTTTCCCGAAAGTTTTATGGTAAAACGTTTCTCTCATATTGACAAACTGAGCAAAGATGAGTTCACTTTGTGTTACCTTCTACTATGCAGCTGAATTCTTGTCCAATAAAGAGGCTTCATTGGCCGGCAAGGCTCTATTGGCTGCTTCCTACTTTCTTTGTCTTGATGCATCCCGAATCCAAACAAGCCAGTTGGCAATGGAGGAGGAAGAAATCCACACACTTGTGGTGTTGGTAAAGTGCTACTCCCAACTTGTGGGGCGAGTGAAGGGCCTGATCCAGGGAGCAAAGGCGGTGGTGGGGGTGGAGGGATTCCTGTTCCAGGGGGAAGTGGAGGGGGAGCTGGTGCAGGTAGTATCCCCATACCTGGCAAAGGCGGAGGTGGGGGAATCCCAGCACCAGGCAGAGGAGGGGGAGGAGGGGGAATCCCAACTCCAGGTAGAGGAGGAGGAGGAGGTATTCCCATACCAGGTAGAGGAGGGGGAGGAGGTATTCCCATACCAGGTAGAGGTGGGGGAGGAGGAATCCCCACTCCAGGAAGAGGTGGGGGAGGAGGTATTCCCACTCCAGGAAGAGGGGGAGGAGGAGGTATTCCCACGCCGGGAAGAGGGGGAGGAGGCGGTATTCCCACGCCGGGAAGAGGGGGAGGAGGAGGTATTCCCACTCCAGGAAGAGGAGGGGGAGGAGGTGGCAGCATTTCTGTACCCGGCAGAGGAGGAGGAGGGGGAATTGCTGTGCTCGGCAGAGCAGGCACTGTCATGCCAGGGAGAGGAGGAGGGGGGAGAGTCACCCCGCCTGAGACAGACATGGAGCTAGAGGACTCTGTGCAAGGCAGAGGCGGTGGGGGAGGGATGTTGCAGCTGTTTCCAAAAGAGGAGAAAACAGAATGTTCATGGCTGGTTTCATATTCAGTTTGAAGAGAATGGGACGTTTGTGACCCAGGCTGTTGACCATCAGACTGTGGAAGGGATGGAGGTGGTGGTGGCTGTCCACTTTGTGTGGACTGATGGGCATCAAGCTGGACTGATATCCGCCTTGGAGACACAATCAGAGAAATCTCTGAACAGAACTTTGTCTGAGGCCCAGAAGGTGAGGCTGGAACAGCTGACTCTCCGTGTTCCATCCCAGGTGGGCGAGGAGCACCCTCTGGCAGTGCACTCACAGAAGGCAGCGTCAGTACCCCGCCCTCTTCTGTCGGGGAAGTCTGTATGGATTTTGCCTGTAAAGTCCTTTGATGCTGTACATCCTTTTCTCCTAACCTGAGAGCTTCCAGACAGACATTTTCTGAGGCCATCACTCCATTCTCAACCCTGTGGCGGCCACTGGTCACTTCCATGTCCACGGCAGGGTACTGCTTCTCTAGTTCAGCTATTTTGGTCCTCAGATTCTCAATAGTCTGTTCCAGCTGTTGAATCACAGTTGCCTGTCCCTCAGACTTCATGTCAAAAACTTCCTGAGGGGCGATAAAGAGAAATGAGATTAAATGCAAAATTTTTTTAAATTTAATTTTATTTTTTTACATTTTTTTCATACAATCAATCACATTTTTTAGCTTACGAGGTGATCATTTCAATATGTGAACATTTCTCCCCAGTCCAGTTGATGAAAATATAACAATACTACCTCCCTGTCTCAACAATGCTGTCAATCCAAATATGCAAAATAATTTTAAATTAAGCAAAATTTTATTTGTTTGTTGTGATATTTACAGAAAAAACTCTCTAGGGAAGGACACTACTAATATCTCTATAACTTCCTCTCCTCCATGTTCAGATTTCAAAATGGTTTAACCATAGTATCACAGGATTCTAACACCCTTGGCTGTCTTCATCTTTGAATGAGAGTACTGAGAAGTAGACCACCGAGAATAGGAAAGCAAATTCTGATAGAAAAACCACTTTATTTCCAAACTAGGCTTCTCTTTTTTCTATTAAGATAGTCCCTCGTGACTTTTTTTTAAGGTAATCCTGCATTTTAAAGGGAATTGCTACTTTTAAAAGTCATCACTGAACAAGTCTTCAGTAGAAATATGTAAAATCTCTATGATATTTATATGGGCATGGGCAAACATTAAAAGCATGTGTTTACACTCTGTGCATCATGTTTACTATTGCCAGGAATGAATGAGAGTGCCTACTCTTATGTGAGCTTGTCAGCTGTTGTAGTAGCATCACCTGGTTTTTTAAGAATTATTTAATTTTATTTATTATTATAATTTTTAAATTTCCTATAGTGCATGTGTGCTCGCCAGAGATAGACAGATACACAGAGAGAAAGAGAAAGCAAGCCATCAGATCGAGGACTCGAGCCAGTCAACCATGTGGGAATCTAGTGCCTTACGGCCATGCCACCTACTGATCCTATCTCCTTGTTATTTTAATTCACAATTGCTGGATGACAAATCAACATGAACTTCTTTTTATATGTTTACTTGACACCTATATATTTTTCTCTTCTCTCTCATTTTTTTTTTTTTTTGGAGGGGTTTTTGCTATAGGGCACGTGTGCTCGCCAGAAAGACAGAGAGAGACAGAGAGACAGAAAGCGAGATATCACCCCCAGGGGGGATGGCCACGCTGCAGTCCCTTCTCCTCCATTCTCCTCTCAGTATCTTGGGCACGCACGCACACGCATCCAGCGTGAGTTTAAGCCACCAGGTCCAGGACTTGAACCGCAGTCAACTACATGGGAGTCCAGTGACATAGCTAACTGCTGGTCTCGACATCTGTATATTTTTCTTGATGAGGTATCTGTTTAGATATTACGCCAACTGCTGGTCCCGACATCTGTATATTTTTCTTGATGAGGTATCTGTTTAGATATTTTGCCTATTAATAAGGATAACTATTTTCTTATTGTTGAATTTTAAGAGTTCTTTATATTTTTTTAATATAAGTCCTTTATCAAATATTTTGCAAATATTTTCTCCTTATTATGGCTTGTTTTTTATTCTCTTAACAGTGTTTTCCACAGAGTAAAGTTTTTAATTTTAATGAAGTTTAACATCAAATTCTTTTCTTTCATGGAATGTGCTTTTGAGATTAAATCTAAAAACTCACAGCCAAACCCAAGGACACATACATTTTTCACTCTTCCTTGTTTATACAATTGCCAGAGGGGGTGTGTGCTCACCAAAGAGAGAGAAAGTGCCCCTCAATGAGATATGGCCATGCCATAATCCTTTGTCTTTCATATCTCTGTCTTGTTAGGATGTAGGGTACGTATGCACATGTACCTGATCTGTTTTTCAAGCTACCAGGCAGAGTTTGAACTGCAACCAGCCATGCAGGATCTAGCCCTCTATACCCAGTGCTTAGCCACTGTGCTAGATGGCCAGCTTCATTTTCTTTATTATTTTACACCCAACATATTTGCAGTGAAAAAAAAAATGCAGATGAATAAGAAAGAAATGGGTATTTACTATAAATGAAGCATTTTGGGTGCTATGGTATATGTGATAGAAATCTTCAGAACTAGTTTTCCTCTCCATTCTACCCCCATGGAGGAACAGGAGGTATAAACTTAGGAGTTTTCATCCTATCCCTGTTACTTCTTCCCTAGATACTGTATCTTTTACTATGATATGTATGAGGTAAACAAGGTAAAGACCACAGACCATACATTTTACTCACTGGAAATTATGCTTCTTAAAAGCTGTAGAGAATTTGTTAGCCTAGAGACACAGCCCCTACATGAGTTGTTTAAAAAAAAAATGTATCTATCATAAAAAAAAAAAAGAAGTAAAATGAAAAAGACCTATGTAACCCTTACCATAATGGAAACTGGTGGGTTGTTGGGAAAGTCACGATGCATATTTGCATAGAAAATCTACGTTCTATGAGTTTTAAGCTGCCAGGTCTGGGACTAGAACCATGGTTGACTACATGGGAGTCCAGAACAACACAACCATTACACCATCAGTTGGTCCCTAGCGATAACTTTTTTACAGATAGTCTTTATAGCAAATGGAAGAAAAGTGGAGGTTAGAGTCTGTTTCTTTATGTATATTATTCTCACAACAGAAAAGAATTCTCCTTTTCCATTCTAGGGAAGCAGAGCAATTAACTCACCAGACTATAAAATAAGGCCAGCCATCCACCACTGCAGTGTGTAGGATTCTTGGTTCTGAATTTAGCTAAGGGTCTTCAAAGAATCTTATCTGCCCTTCCTTATCCAGAGCTATCAGTCAAGGACTGGCTGGCTCTCAGAGTGCCTAAATAGAGAGGACCTTACCAAGTCAAGCTAAGACATTTTCTGTAGAGCTCTCTAGGGAAAGTTGCATTGTTTCTCAGCAGTAAGAGATGATTTCTATATAGGTTATATTTAGGCTTTCTAAAGAAATTTACTTGGTGAATATTAATCATGATCAAAAAAAGAGTTTGTCTCTCTCCTGCCCATTTAAGTACACATTCTACTCTCAGGACCTACAGGAAGTAAAGTGAAGATTCACAAGGCCCACCCACTGACAAATCCTAGATTTAATCTCTCAGAGACTGCCAGGCGCTCTGGTGTCCATGTTCAGCCATCTGTTCCCCTCTGTCCAGTGCCTGGAACTTAATCTTCTGTCTCTTCAGAGTGCAGCTAGAAGGAGGCCTGACAGACTCTCAAAGGACTTGACTTCGGAGAAATACACTTGCGTTATCTTTAGACTTCTAGGCGTTTCAAAAATGACTCTCAGCATTTCCAGTAACTGTGTAATAGTTTATCCAATGTGGATGGCTCTTACTATCAAAAATTGAATAATTTATCTAAGGAGAAGAAATAAGTGATTTTGGCAATTTTGTACAGAACCTATACAATGGGTACATTGTTATAAATGGAGGAAAGACAAATCTATTTTTGGTTAGTTAACGCAAAAATTAGTACACTTTATATATTATCAGTAAGGTTATTTGTATTTCAAAATATTATTTCAAAATCTTAAATCATTATAAGTGATAAAGTCTGCCATCTACTTTGGCTCAGCAATTATATACAATAAGTCAGCCAAAATTCTTCCATTCTTGTATAATCTTATATGTGGGTGGTGATGGTTAGCTCTTATAAATTATTTAAACACTTACATATCACAAACTACAAGTTTCCATTGAAAAATAAAATGTCTACCAAAAATATTTTTTCAAATACAAGATTATCCGATTCCCAGAAAAAGAAAACATTACTGTAACACTAAAGTTACAACTGTCAAAAAGGAAGCCAAAATACACTCAAGTAAAGCTTTTGCTGAAAAGTTAATTTGCTCATCTTTAAAACTTTATTATTATGCAAGCAAAACACTTTCAGAGCCTGGAATATAAAAACTATTTATAAGTTAACACTTTAATCATTTATTTTGTCCATTTTAATATATGTAATTCATTTTCTATCATACTCAGATTTTCAAGTTTTGCTAAATTCTAATGCCACATTAAGTTATGACAGTCTAGAATCTATAAAACAAGGATACTATCCTTTTTATAGACATGTACACATTCTTTATCTAAATTCTAAAACTTCCTAAAATTTTGGAATAAACCAATGACATTCCAAATCTACAGTAAACCAACCTATGCTAAACATGATCCTACATGAAAAGAAATCCACATTTTAAATATACATGGCCATGCACAAAAATAAAGTACAATTTCAAATTTGCAAGGGAATTCCAAGAAAGAAGGAGATATTTAAACATTTGGTAAGTGGCAAATAACTTACTTAGGGCTTCCTTCTTAAATACGAACATACTACTGAAATAAAAAAGCTTCAAACAGAGAGCTAAACTGGCATCTCTGAAATCCTTATAATGAGAAGAATAATAAATGATTGAAATTAAAACATTTTTGAGCTAGAATGGATATGACAAATTCTTCTGATTCCCTCGCTGCATAAATGTGATGTGGGTAGGAGAGGGAGAAGTTAGACTTCATAATTGGCTAAATTGCTTTTAACTTCTTTTCAGCATAGTGACTGATAAGCCGATTAATGAAAGGCTAAAGTAGTGATAATCATCATTAGTTAATAACCACAAGGGAAGTACTAATGTATTTGGAAAGAAGAGTCGGAAAAAAAACAGGAAATAATAGCAAAGGGAACCTGACTATTTTATTCCCTCTCACTCTTCTGAATTTTCTCTTCAGTATATGAGCTAGAGTTGTGGCGAATTTCTGGACCAAACTCGGAAGCACTATATTCCCAAACAGTCCCAAATAGCGCAAGGAAGAAAAACACTATTTCATTACAGTTTCATTTTTATTCAATGATTCATGAATATAAAGTAAATGCAGGTTTTCACCCCCTAACCACCTTTCCTGTGTTAACACCCAACTATTCTCAAATGTCATTTAAAAACTTCCAAAAAACTAAGCATGGAGAAAATGAAATGAAATGGATTAGGAAAATTACTCATAGTGGTAGCACTGTCATTTGGCCCAGGAATTCTAATGGAATTAATCTCTCAGTACTGTTAATATTCTT